CCTGCCCCCCCTCTCTCCCTCTCTCCTTCTTTCCCTCTCTCCTCTTCTCCTTCTTTCCCTCTCTCCTCCTCTCCTTCTTTCCCTCTCTCCTCCTCTCCTTTTTTCCCTCTCTCCTCCTCTCCTTCTTTCCTTCTCTCCTCTTCTCCTTCTTTCCCTCTCTCCTCCTCTCTTTCTCTCCTCTTCTCTCTCCTTCTCTCTCCCTCTCTCTTCGCCTCTCTCTCTCCTTCTCTCTTCCTCTGTCTTTGTCTCTCTCTCTCCTTCTCTCCTCCTCTCCTCTCTCCTCCTCCCCTCTTTCCTTCTCTCTCCTCTTCTCTTCTCTCTCCCTCTCTCTCTTCCTCTCTCCTTCTCTCCTCTCTCCTCCTCTCTTCTCTCTCCCCCTCCCCTTCCAGAGTTTGCTCCTTCCTCCCCTCCTCCTTTCCCCTCCTTCTCCCTTCCCGTTTTCTTGTGTTGGTAACCCCTTCTTCCTCATCTATTTTCTTTTTCCCTTTTCTCTCGTTTATCACTACTTCACTTCCCTTTCTTATCTCCCCCCCCTCCTTCCCTTACCTTCTTGTGTGTTGCCATCTTCGTTTCCCTTTCCCTCTCCCCTTTACCCCCCCTCCTCCCCTCACCCCTCCCGTTCCCCTCTCTCCCCCTCATTTCCCCTCTCCTCCTCACCCTCTTGTATGGCGCCATCTCCACTTCCCCTCCCCCTCTCTTCCTTCTCTCCCCTTCCCTTCCCTTCTCTCTCCGAGGCTTCGCTAACCCTCTCCCTCCCTCTCCCTCCCTCCCTCCCTCCCTCCCTCCCTCCCTCCCTCTCCCTCCCTCCCTCCCTCTCCTCCCCCCCTCCTCTGTGGCCATACTTATATCCTTTGACACTTGCTTTTCATTTTTCTTTTTTTTCCTTTCTTGTTTCTAAGTTCGCCTTCGGTAGAAAACAAAAGAATGATAAAAAAAAATAATGAAAGAGATGAAAGAATATGTAAAAAATATATATATATATACACATATATATATATTTTTTTTTCTCTCGCTCTCTCTCTCTCTCCATTCCATCTGTTTCGACTTTGTTTATCTTGCCTTCGTTTACCCTCTCCCCACCCTACCCCCTTTACAAAAAACAAAAACAAAACAAAAAAATACTTATATTAAAATACACACACACACAAAAAACATGTTTCAATCACGTTTTCAAGAACTGGCGAGAACGAGGCGAGGTTTTTCATACTGTGTTCACGGTCGATTCTCTTCATTTCATAACATTATGCTCTTTCATGAAGAAGAAGGAGAGAGAGAGAGAGAGAGAGAGAGAGAGAGAGAGAGAGAGAGAGAGAGAGAGAGAGAGAGAGAGAGAGAGAGAGAGAGAGAGAGAGAGAGAGAGAATGAGAGGGAGGGAGGGAGGGAGGCAGGGAGGGAATGAGGAAGGAAGGGAGGGAGGGAGGGAGGGAGGGAGGGAGGGAGGGAGAGAGAGAGAGAGAGAGAAAGAGAGAGAGAGAGAGATAAAGAGAGAGGGATAGAGATAAAGAGAGAGGGATAGAGGGAGAGAGAAGGATAGAGGGAGAGAGAGAATGAGAGGGAGAGAGTGAGGGAAAAAGAGAGTGAGAGTGAGAGAGAGAGAGAGAGAGAGGGAGAGGAGAGAGAGAGAGAGAGAGAGAGAGACGAGAGAGAGAGAGAGAGAGAGAGAGAGGGAGAGGGAGAGAGAGAGAGAGAGAGAGAGAGAGAGAGAGAGAGAGAGAGAGAGAGAGAGAGAGAGAGAGAGAGAGAGAGAGAGAGAGAGAGAGAGAGGAAGAAAGAAAGAAAGAAAGAGAGAGAGAGGAAGAAAGAAAGAAAGAAAGAGAGAGAGAAAGAAAGAATGAAAGAAATGCTTTTTGAGACAGAAAGTCGAAAACAAGTAGCAACGACGGGGAGGAGGGGAAGGAGGGAGGAGGGAAGGGGGGGTAGGGAGGAAGGAGGAGGGAAGGGAGTAAAGAGGGAAGGGACAAGGCTAGCTTCAAGAATTTTAAGAACCTCAATTGTCCCGTAATTGCTGGGTAAGGAGGAATTTTCTGATAATCTGTAAAAAGAAAGAGAGAAAAACCCGCCATTATTCTCGAGTGCACCAAGGCCTCGAAAGGTAATAATGGAGGAAAGGGAGAAAACAAGGGTAAGAGAGAAAGAAAAAGGGAAGGAAGGGAGTGAGGGAATGGGAAGAGGGAGGGAAGAAGGGAGAGACAGAGATAGACAAGCAGATATAGAGAAAGAGAGAGAGAGAGAGAGAGAGAGAGAGGAGAGAGAGAGAGAGAGAGAGAGAGAGAGAGAGAGAGAGAGAGAGAGAGAGAGAGAGAGAGAGAGAGAGAGAGAGAGAGAGAGAGAGAGAGAGAGAGAGAGAGAGAGAGAGAGAGAGAGAGAGAGAGAGAGCGAGAGAGAGAAAGGTAACAGAAACAGAGACAGACAGACAAGCAAACAGAGAGAAGAGAGAAGAGAAAATTTTAAAAATAGTCAAAATTAGAGGTTAAAAAATGAAAAAAATATATCCAGACAAACAAACCGTCAGAGATAAAGAACCTATTTAAAGTGAACTTAAATCATTAAAAAAAAATCTCTTTCACAACCTGAAAACAAAACACGGAAGAAATTTGAGGAATAGGACCATAGAGCGAAGAGAAAAGAGAGGGAGAGCGGAGGGAGGAGGAGGAGGGAGGAGAGGAGGGTGGAGGAGGGAGAAGGGAGGAGAGTGGAGGAGAGGAAGAGGAGGAGGAGGGAGAAGGAAGGAGGGAGGAGGGGGGAGGGAGGAGGAGGAAGGAGGAGGAGACGGAAGAGGGAGGAGGGAGGAGGGAGAAGGGAGGAGGAGGAGGAGGGAGGAGGGGGAGGGGGACGGAGGAGGAGGGAGGGATATGATGAAGACGCTTAAAGAAAAGCATTGAATTCCTTTCCTCGAACCTCCATCCTTTGTTCCCGCCTGCTTACAGAAGATCCAAACCCCTTTGTTTGGTGTTTCTGTCTTTGATATTTACACTTGGTTAATTTTCCTTGTGACTAAGCTATTTTTTTCCCTCTCCTCGTCCGACCGCGCTACTCGTTTCTGATAAAGATTTTTTTTTTTTGTTTGTTTGTTTGTTTTTTTGGGGGAGGGGAGTTTCTTTCCCTCTCGTTCGCTCGATTTCTTGTTTCTCTTGTCTGCTTATCTCGGTTTCTGTCTCTTTCTCGTTCTCTTTATCTCTTTCTATTTCTCTCTCACCTTTATCTCTCCTTCTCCCCTTCTATCTCCCTCTCACTTTCTCTTTCCTTCTCACTTTTCTTTCTCTATCTCCTCTCTCACTCTGTCCTTCTTTCTCTCCTTTCTCCTTCTCTGCCTCTCCTTCAATTTCCCTCTTCTTCCCTCTCCCTCTCTCTTTCTATCTCCTACTTCTCTCTCTCTCCCCCTCTCCCTCTCCTTCTCTCTCTCTCTCTCTCTCTCTCTCTCTCTCTCTCTCTCTCTCTCTCTCTCGCTCTCTTTCTCCCCCTCTTTCTATCCCTCCCTCCCTCCCTCCCTTTCTCTCTCTCTCTCTCTCTCTCTCTCTCTCTCTCTCTCTCTCTCTCTCTCTCTCTCTCTTTCCCTTTCCTGCTCAGGAAGTGAATGAAACAGAGAGGCGACGAAGGAAAATGAAAAGCAACCTAACTTGTTTTTAGGAATTTAGAAGCATTCTGACGCAGTATCGGAAAAAAGTTTCCATTCTTGAAAAATAAATATGTCAAAGGGAGAAAGAGAGGGAGAGGGAGGAGGAGGGGAAAGGGAGGAAGAAAGGAGAGGGAGAGGGAGAGAGGGAGAGGGAGAAAGAGAGGAAGAGAGAAAGGGAAAAGGAGAGGGAGAGGGGTGAGGGAGGGAGGAGAGAGAGGGATGGGAGGGAGAAAGAGAGAAAGCCAGAGAGAGAGAGAGAACGAATGACAGACAGAAAGGTAGAGGTAGAGGGAAATAAATAAACACGATACAACAAATAACTAAGAACGAAAAGAAAGAAAAAAAGAGACAGAGAAAGAAAAAAAAAACGAACTGATGAAGACACAGAAAGATAAGCGACTAACCCATCGGCCGAAGTGACAGCCAAATAATCAATCCCCTCTCCCCGTCCCCCTCCCCCTCCCCACGCAACCCCCCCCCAACGGCCCAAAGCTAATCCATGCCCTCGCAGATGCAACCCGCATCTGCAACCCCGTCATTCACGCTGCAGCCTATCCCGCCGTTGCAGATAGACAGATAGATATATATATATGTATATGCGACGCGGCTCTGTCCCATCCATACATCAATAACACTCCTCCACATCCCGCAGGTGTGCACAACCCCGAGACGCATGTGGTTTGGCCGGCAGCGCTTCGAATCCGGTCCGGTGCTTCACTACTAAATCTGAATTAATTCGAAGCTTCACCGGAATGTTGTGTATGTGTGTGTAACTCATAATCCCGGCTTACGCTGTTCCGGGAACTGTGACAAGAGGGAGGGCGATGGGGCACGAAGGGCGGTAAAGGGGAGAGGAGAAAGTGTGGGTAAACGGAGAGAGAGAGAGAGAGAGAGAGAGAGAGAGGAGAGAGAGAGAGAGAGAGAGAGAGAGAGAGAGAGAGAGAGGAGGAAAGGAAGGAAATTTGAGAGAAAGCGTTTGAAACCCAATAACTCTCAGGTGCCGGGACGGTGATATCTGTGCAAGCAATCCTGTTAAACAGAAGTGTCTCATATGGCAGAGAAATCAATAACTGAAAATAGTACCAACTATAATAAACACACATACACACACATACATACAAGCACACACACACACACACACACACACACACACACACACACACACACACACACACACACACACACACACACACACACAAGCACTCTCTCTCTCTCTCTCTCTCCTCTCTCTCTCTCTCTCTCTCTCTCTCTCTCTCTCTCTCTCTCTCTCTCTCTCTCTCTCTCTCTCTCTCTCTCTCTCTCTCTCTCTCTCTCTCTCTCTCTCTCTCTCTCACCCACACACCCACACCCACACTCACACGCAAACAAGCGGCGCCCCACTCACCTCGCGCGATGTGGCCCGACGATGTGGTCGTGGGAGGACGAGGCCGACAGCGCCGAGTCGTCCAGGCCGCCCGTGGACACGCCCAGGGGCTTGTTGCATTCCCCTGCAGGACGAGGGAGAGAAACACGGTCATAGAGGGCGCGTTGCTGGCATCTTCGGCGTAAGATTGCATTTGCATTTGCAGAAGGAGATTTAAATTACAGTTGCAGTTGGAGGATTTTGATTGATGAATGGATAAGGAAAGCAATAACATAGTAGTAGAGTTGATAAGATTAATTAAAAAAAGGAAGAAATGCAGGTTTGATAATGCGGAGGCACAACAGGAATGATGTCACTGAGTTATCAATATGCTAATTACGTTACTAACTCATATATATTCATGATCACTGTGCAAATACTTTAATCATTCATAATCATCAATCTTTCAAATTCAATTATTCACCGAGTAGGCTATTAATAATTCAATATTCAGATTATTAATACTTACTATTTAAGAATCGACACTTACCGAGCCAGAGCGCAGAGCAGCCTTGCGTCACCACCGCGACCGCGATCAACACTTTCATGGGCTTCTCCATGCTCACGCGCGCGCACGCACTCACTTTCCCTCGAACTCCCGAAAAAATAAACAAAAATAAAAAAATAAAGGACTCCACAATCCTCAGGTCCGTTGTCCGTACGTGCCTGTCATCGGGCTACGGACACACTGCATGCGTCTCTTCCGTGTCCGGTGCGCTGTCCGCGGCGAAGGGGCTAGGCGAAGGGCATCCCCGACGCACTGGAGATGAGTCTGGAGATGAGGATGCTGGCGATGACAACGGCGACGATGATGCTGTCTGGGACTCTCTCTCTCTCTCAGGTAGATGCGGAAGCTGCAGAGGGGGCGCTGGGGTGTCGCATGATTGGCCCGGACGATGAAGCCGTAACGAAATCAGCGCAGCATCCGAGGGCGGGAGATGGGCAGCAGATGGACGAGAGGGAGAGGAACCAGCTGCCAGCACCGACGGGAGCAGCAGGCACAGCAGAACACGGTGCCGACAACAGCGGAACAGCGGCGGTGTTTGTACTGGAATGCGGCAACGAAAGGAAGGGGGAGGGGGAAGAGGAGGAGGAGGGAGAGGGGGAGAGGAAGAGGAGGAGGAGGAGGTTAAGGGAGGAGACAGAAACCAAGGGAGACCTGACGGGAAGGGGGGGGAGGGAAGGGGGGAAGGGGAGGAGACGAGGTATTCGTTGGTTTGGTTGCCAAGGAGATGTACGTCTGAGTGAGTGAGTGAGTGAGTGTGAGTTGATACCAGGCCGCTGTTACTCACACCTCACACCTGTCGCCTCACAC